ATAAGACGAAGTTGGACAATTCAGCTATCGAAGATAATAAATAAATATGGTATTTCTATTAAACTGTTTATGGATTGTACGTATGATATAGAGCAGTATAGTAAAGAAATAATACATAAAGTTATGGAATACTCTATTGTCCAAGACATTGAAGATATACAAAAACGAGAAAATACAAGCTGGTATACAACAATTCTAAATTATCCAGTAAATAACAACTATATATTGACAAATATAGCTTTCAATATTAAAAAGTTTTTTATGCAGATTAGGTTAAATAAAAATGAAATAATTATAAATGACAAATATATAGATTATACCCAATCTAAATGTCCGAATTGTACAAAAAATTTATCTAAAATTCATATTTTATGCGAAAATTGTGACGAAAAAGATAAACTACAAAGGCTCCAGATTGAGCCACTGACTAAATGTATTAATGAGCAGGAAATGTACAAGACATTAGATAGAGCTGATGTTAACACGATTTATAAGATATATAACTACGTCAAACAACTAGTTAAATAATAATTATGACAAAATAGTAATATAAATATATTGATTAATAAATGATAAATACTAATATTGTTAAATAATTATTATATGAAATGTTAATATGCGTTTATTCAAAATTAAAACGCCTTGTAACAGGCGAAAGCCTTCTACGCCAATAAAGATTACTTACTTACTTACTTACTTAATACAGAAACTTTGCCTTATTGTTAAAATAATATTAATTTAATCCAAATTTATAAATGCACTTAATACAGAAACTTTGCTCTATTGTTAAAATAATATTAATTTAAATTATTTTTATAAAAACATTTAATGATAAATACGCAAATTTTGCGTTATTGTTAAAATAAAATTAATTTAATTCAAATTTATAATAACATTTAATACAGAAACTTTGCCTTATTGTTAAAATAATATTAATTTAATTAATATTTGTGATCAAAAAATTAATTTTTTGATTTGAAATAATTTCATTTAACAAATTTTTATTTGCAATCTTAATTTATAAAATTATTTGTAATTTTAATTTCGTGATCAAAGCTTTCCAAACCACTGCTGCTTACGTGACTGTGGAAAAAATACTCAGGACAAGTTTGCGTTAATTACTATCTGAATAATTTTGCCGCATAAAAGTTTTTTCTATGCTTAGCATCGCACTTTGTCCTAGTGTAAGTTTCTTTATTTCTGGAGTTACCTCTTCATCTCTATCGACTATTGATTCGAAGAAAATAAAACTCGGATACGTTCTATGTTTTCCATGTCTTTTTGTATGAGTTTGTCACCATGGTTTTTTAACATGCTTGTTAAATTTTATCTACGAAACATTCTTTAAATTCAAAAGACCAGAAAATATGGAGTGTAAAGAACTTCCCATCTGTAATATTTAAAGGATGGATTCAGTTATTATTATTGTAATTTTAAAAACAACACAAGTAAAATAAATTTCAAAACTTACTTTTATTGGAAACTTTTTTGTAACGTTAAAGTAATTTCTAAATGTCAAACACAGGGATTCTTTACCAAATCTTTTCATAAAGTTTAGAATCTAAAAAGTTATTTCCATTAAAGTATTAAAATAACTTACAGTACGTATAAACATAATAAATGTTTTTCTCAATAACAATAGATTTTAAATGTTAAACCTTCAATTTTTGTTCCAATTTGAGATCGCAGCCAGCAAATCTTCTGATATCTTGAAAGGACGTTTGCATCTGAAAAAAGAAACAACACATTTAGAGGTCTGTAAATATAGAAAATAGTGGAATTTTCAAAAGAAATACGTTACAGTAGATGTAAAAGCAGAAAACAGGAATCCGGTTACGATACAAAGGAAAGTGAAGCTAAGACAGAGTGAAGAAAATATCAGTTTCAACGCAAATTTCATTTTCGAAAAGATGAGAGCAAAGTACAGTAGACTTGTTTCTGATAATAAAATGCCGTATAGAATTGTTAATATGTAATTGAATGGTCCGTTGAGCTGATCGATAAAGCGCCAAAGTTCATCGTGTTGTGCCATAATTCGTTCCAATTCCGAATGCAAATTCAAATTTCCCTTATTCAGTAAATACAAATCTTCTGATACATTTTCGAATGCATTCATTAAAGTAAGTAAAAGCAAAACAACAAAGAAATACAGATATATAAAACCACCAATCATTACATTAACCGCGATTCCCACTTCAATACAGCAGAAAAGGGGTTCATATTTAAAGGACTTTGCTTTCTCTATAGCAGGATAAAATAGAAAATTTATTATGAATTGAAGGGATATCGTAAAAACAGTAGTCGCAATTACTGCAAGAAGCCGTACATAATCGATAATAACACATAATTGATTTTTAGGAAAACGATATGACTCTTTCAATTGAATTTTCGAATTTAGTTTGACTTTCTTAACAATGCTGAATATTACTGCCAAGGCCAAGAAAATAGTCGCAATTATTATTCTGATAAATATGTCATACTCGTATATCGAGTACGAGGCAAAGCAAGGCATTAAATCTGATATGTAAGGAATTATCATGCAGAGAAGGACAATTGAATGTACCCAGTAAACACATTCAAGAAATATGACGTAAAGCTTCGAAATTTTACGCCAATAAACATCAGTGTTTAAGACACAGGAGCAAGGCGTAAAAAATTCCCAACCGTAGATCATAGACATCGAAGTAAACGAAGAGAGAAAACACGGTAGACATATTTCCTTTTTAAAATTTAGATCTGTAACGCTAGCGCTCGAGACGATTCTTCTCATACTTTTGAGCAGGCTATTATTTGACAAAAATAAAATTAGTAACGGAATTAAAAGTAATTGCAATATTTCTGTAGAAACCAACTAAATGTCAGCTTTAGAATAAAAGGTTTCTGCTTATTCACAGATATAAGTATTGATTGCATAAGACCTGTACAGTACTTTTAGAACGTTTACGTAATAAATACTTACGCAAGTCATTGCGTGCCTGAGTTGTATTTGAGAGCTTGCATTTATTTCTGCAGAATAAACCAAATTAATTCATTATTAATTATTAAAATATTTTAGATTTTTTAACCAAATGATCGAACTGTTTTAAATTCGAATTTGTTATTGCACATTGCATCGATTATAGAACGACTGTAAATGTTCCAGAAAATTGATCAAATTGAAAATAGTTCGTTTCATGTTGAGCAATTCTCATCATTCTCAGCGGTAGATCTTATAAAACAATAACTATGGTTGCTGAAATACTGAATATAAATGGAGAAGTGACGTTAAGTAGACACTTCAACGTCACTTCTTAATATAATGATTATCTATAATTAATAAATGTAATAAATATAATGAACATTTCACCGGTATCATTATAATAATGGGAATTTTGCTAATGGTTTGAGCTTAATTTTAATTCTATTATGCTATTGAAAAGTGATTTATCGTTTCGCAAATCATTAAAAAAAAAAAAAAAAAAAAACACTGATAGAAGAAAACTGATAATCTCGCGTATTAATTTTGAAAAATTGAAAAATCAGTTATTAATGTTACAAGTATTATGTAACGTAACAATAAATATAATTTTCGATTATTTATTTTTATTAATTGTAGTATCATTCCTGTCTGTTCATATTTGAAGTCGTTAATACGAGTCATACTCGAGGGAAAATCAATCTTAAATGTTGACTTTCAACGTAAATCGATGAAAAGAATGGTTTATAGCAATATTACAAGGATTGTCGCCATGTTTACTGCGACATCTCTATACTTTATCTATATCTATATATATAAATATAAATATATATATATAAATGGACATGTATGTCCCTATATTTCACTTTTTCGCCAAAACTACACATCGCACGTGAATGGTGTTTGTATGTGGTGGTAGCCCCAAGTCTCTATTCGTGCATAGGGGTGGTTGCGTCTCGATAGCTATAAGGGTGCGGGAGATATGGACTTGAAAGTAGTTGAAAGTGGCTTTCTATTTCGAATGTTTTGTTTGAATTTGTTCTAATTTGTTCGAACAAATTCGAACAATATTCGAATTAAATTCGAACATAAAATTCGAATATTGGTTCGATAATAGAACGATTGTAAACGTTCCAGAAACGTTGAAAATAGTTCGTTTGACTGGACGTGAACAGGAAACGTTCAGAAATAGAATCGGAACCAGGTCTCTAATTAGTCTGAAAATGGGGGACCTAATTCTTGCATTCTGTGAAAACGAGTAAGATTAGCTTGAATGTAATTATCTTAATCTTCACTATCGTTACTTTTTAAAAACCCAGCAAAACGGGTCCTTGCAGCTAGATTCTAGATTACTTAGAAAAACAGTGTTTTATATGTATATAAAAAAACTATATTACATACAAATGTACGAACAAATAAAATCAGCGAAGCGGGTTCTTGCAGCTAGTTATTGAATATAAAGGAAATAATAAATGTAATTCGAATTTTGTGACGCCAATGCTAAAAAGTACAGTAGAGCGTCGTTTATCCGAAAGCTGGTTATCCGAAACGTCCGTTATCGGAAAGCATTCCAGTCCGGAAATTTAAATATTCGCTAGTGCTGTGGCGCTGCAATCTTCGGCTATTTCTTGGGTTACTTAAATATTTTACGTTTTTGATACTAAATTAACATCTGAAGTATAATTTTTTATTGTTTTTATATTTTTCAATATATTTATTTTGTTTGTACAAAATAAAAAAATAATTTTTAACGATACAATAGTCTTCGTTAGGCTTAACATCGACGAAAATTCAACGTGAAGCGACACGCAACGGAGAGAAATTTCAACATGAGATAAATTAATATATTTTTTCGTACATGATTCGTTATCCGAATCACCCCAGTCCCCAATTGATTTGGATAAACGACGCTCTACTGTATAAACAATATCGGAAATATGGTGAAGTTATAGAAATTATGCGCAAAAATTGATAATAAAGAGTGAGTTCATTTTGATTATGCGAAATGTATTGTTATTAGTGAAGTATTGCATATAATTTACACGACATAATACAGTAGAGCGTCGATTTTCCGAATCAATTGGGGACTGGGGTTGTCCGGATAACTGATATTTCGGATAACTGATTTACGTACGAAAAAATAGTTTAACGTATCCGATGTCGAAATTTTTATCCGTTGCGTGTCGCTTCGCGTTGAATTTTCGTCGATGTTAAGCCTAACAAAGACTATTGTATCGTTAAAAATTATTTTTTTATNCCATGTTGTAACAAGTAAAATCCTTTTTTACTTTTATTAAATGAACAATGAATACCAAATGATTAGAAAAAATACTGTGATTACTGATTAGCTTAACCGGGTAGGCTATTATATTATTTTTTACAAGATAATTTAATTTTCATTACGTTAAAAAATGTATTTTTAAACTGTTTCACTAGTTATTAATAAATAGGACTTAGTAAGTTTATAATAGTTGCAATAAATTCTTATTAAAATGCTCATAGTTTTATTTCCAAAACCAACATTTACTAATTGTCTTTAGTAAAACCTAGCATGTACCAAATTCTAATAGTAAAAGTCCGTAAATCATCTCACTTTATAAAAATCCTTACATTTACCAACTCATGTTGGTAAATCCGAAGATTTACAAGTAAAACCTAGGATTTACCAGTATATGGGCTTTTACAGTAACATATAGATTTAATGACTAATACACAAACTGTGCCTTATTGTTAAAATAATATTAATTTAATTCAAATTTATAAATGCATTTAATACAGAAACTTTGCCTTATTGTTAAAATAAAATTAATTTAATTCAAATTTATAAANATTTAAATTTGCCGACTGAAATTCTTTCGGATGATTGACTTTCGGAAAATCGACGCTCTACTGTATTAATTTCGTGCACTATTCGTTTATCTAATAATAAATTATATCGAAAGCTTTAGAATATCAAATGCCATTTATTTCAATGGATCGCTCAAAGAATGGAATCAAAATATTTATCCTGGCAGAAAGTATGATTCGTCTAAATAATTTCATCAGTTAAACATGGAAGTAAATGCCTATCTGCCTAGAAAGGGAATAAACATAAGTGCATTCTGCACTTTATAGAGACTTTCTTATTAATTTATTGGATGGATAAACATTAATTCACTATCATGTTTATTGAAAAATTAAAATTCCAAAGAGTTTCTGGAAATATCGCATCAAAATTTTATTTCACTTTCAGTGAAATAAAATTTTATTTATATAAGTAATTAATACATTTATAAATTATATAACATTTATATAAGTGACTGCGCAGTAAAATTTTAATTCAAAGCTAGCTTTCAGACTGCTTTCTACGCAGAAGTATTGCATTTACTTTTCCGTAAGAAAAAAATAACTGCGAGTAATTGTTTTCAATTAAATTATATATTTTATTTTACCATCGCTTAATTCACTTACTTAAAAAATATGATAAGAATCATCTTTAACGAAAGTCCTGCAGTTGATCAAAAAGAGGAAATATGTCTGCAGTGTTTTCTCTCTTCATTTACTTCAATTTCGATGGTTTACGGCTTGGAATTTTTTACTCCTTGCTACTGTAACTTAAACACTGACGGTCGCTTTCGCATACCTTTCAAACTCTACATCTCGTTTATTGAATGCATTTATTGGATCCATTCCTTTCTTCTTATATGTATGACACTTCCTTACGTATCGGATGTAACTCCTTGCTTTTCCTGGTTCTCGGTATTCGAGTATGACATATTCGTCAGAGTAACTGCTGCGAGTATCACTTTGGCCGTGGCTGTAGTATTCAGTATTGTGAAAAGAGTTAAACTGAATCCAAAAATACAATTTAAAAAGTCGTGTCGTTTTCCTAAACATCAGTTATATGCTTTTATCAATAATCTACAACTTCTCGCAATAATTATAACTGTTACTTTTACGATAATCATTGAATGTATAATCGCTTTTTTATTTTACCCTAGTTTGGAAAAAGGAAAGACCTTTAAATATGAACCATT